ATTCCCTACGGTCCTTGACCTATGTAGTCCTCAGGCTCCTGACCTCATTAACATTGTAAGGAATGAGTTCTACTTTATGGAGGGCCTTGAAGTCCAATAAAGAAGTCATTGGCTACCACAATAATACTTGTGCCTTCATTGCACCAATGGGCATGTCTTTCAGGCAGAGTGCCATTATAGCTCACAGGGTTCATAGCTGAGTGAGAGTGAGGGTTGCTGTTCTCCAGCATCATGAGGAGCATCTTCTAGCACTGTGAATGCTAACTTAGTGGATGTGAATCTATCCGTTGAATGCTAGCTTGATTTCTTCATGTCCTGTTACATCAAGAACGTGTTGTCTTTAGTAATAGTATCTTACCATCAGCTTGTGGAGGCTGATGATGGCAATGCCATTTTGCCTTAGTCTTATTATTTATTTTGGTCAAAAAAATTAAACTCTGACCCCATTCAGTGAGTTTTTTTCTGAAATAAAAAAGACAAGGAGTTAGGCATGAGGCAACCAAGAAAGATTATAGATTGATGACTATGTCTCCTGGTTAGATAAGAAATTAGATGTGGGCTAGGCAGTGGCACACGCCTTTAATGTCAGTACTCAGGAGGCAGATGCAGGCAGATCTCTGAGTTTGAGACAAGCCTGGTCTACAGAGTGAGTTCCATGACAGCCAGGACTACACAGAGAAACTCTGTCTTGAAAAAACAAATTAATAAATAAGAAAATAAGTAAGTAAGTAAGTTAGATGTGAGGGAATCAAAGGAAATTCCAGGTGGATCTAGAGTGACGTGTCTACTGACAGAATGTCTCACTCTGGCTAAACATCCTTGAATCTGCAATTAGGTTCTTTCTTACATATCAAAAATGAAGGTACCGGGGAACTTTCCAAGTTGACATACATGGTCACTAATGAAGAGTCTGCACCTCTAAAAGACCCCAACCTTTAAAATATTATTTACATTGTCGTTTTGACATCCCTACCTCATTGTGGCGTCTCAGGAGAATTGTGGGAAGAATCACCCTTAAACGTAATAATCCACCATGATTTGGGAGGGGAGAAGAGGGTCATATTATCCCAGAAAATATGATACCCACTTTGATGGAGGAAGGTCATTGGCTAATAAAGGAACTGCCTTGGCCCATTTTATTGGTTAGAGGATAGGTGGGAGGAGTAAACAGAACAGAACGCTGGGAGGAAGAGGAAGTGAGCTCAGAGACTCGACAACTCTCCTCTCAGGGGCAGACGCCTCAGAGAGTCGCCACGCCCCACTCCAGGGATGAAGCTCTGACCCAGGATGGACATAGGCTAGAATCTCCCCGGTAAGCGCACCTTGGGGTGCTACACACAGATGATTAGAAATGGGCTAAATTAATATGTGAGAATTAGCCTAGAAGAGAATGGGCTAAGCAGTGTTTAAATGAATACAGTTTGTGTGTTGTTATTTCAGGGCATAAGCTAGCCGAGCAGGTAGCCGGGGTGCTGGGGACACAGCCCTGCCGTCTTTATTACTACACCACTTCAGAAATATTCATACAGAGTACTTCTTAAAATCCCACAATGCACTTGAAATCAGTCCGCCTTAATTGTTGTATGAGTGTATTATTGTCTTTGGTCTGTTTTGGCTAAGAAGCTCCTGTTGAAACTGTCTGTCTTCTCTGAATTATTTCTTTTAAGAAGAACCAGGGGAACCTCCCTTCATAGCAGTTCTAAGTATTTTGTGCATGACTACATTCTTTTGCAGCAATCTGAATTTACTTATTTACCTAGGAAAGGGCATTTTGTCTGTTTGCTGCACGCGGTGATTACAAGCAAAACCACTACAGATACCTGTGTGAATAACACACTTACTTTTATTTAGCTGACTTTCCATTCGTTTGAATGTCTGAAAGTAGGCTATCACATGCATTCTGGATTTAATGGTTTCTGCAAAAATGGTGAATGTAATTTGATACAAACTTACCACTAAGGCCATGGGAGCTGGTCAGTCACCAGAAAGCTACCTTTCTCCAGATTGCTCTCCTTTTGTGTGCTTTGCTGTCTGGAGTCAGGAGGCTTGGGCACATAGATGTATTTCTTGCTCAAGTGAAATTCAATTTCACCTGAGAATAAATAAATTTTAAAAAGAGCTGTGTGTTTTTGTTGGTTTTAGAAAATTTACTCATATCTAACCAAACCAAGTCAAAACAAACAAACAAAAAGCCAGTCTCAAACTGCTGCCCTCCAGACAGTCCTAGTCCCAGAAGGCCTCCAAGGGATTTGAGATGGAGGGAAGAGCTGCAGAGCCATGTGCGGGTTTGCGGATAAGCAGACATCTTTAAGTCAGAGAGTTACTAGGTCTGTCATGTCTAACCAGATCCAACTAAAATCAACTGCCCCACCCTGTGATTAGAATTTATTTTTACAATACATACATCCCAGCTCATCACTCTTTTTTTGGGGGGGGGGGGGTTTCTAGACAGGGTTTCTCTGTAGCTTTGGTGCCTGTCCCTGAACTAGCTCTTGTAGAACAGGCTGGCCTCGAACTCCCAGAGATCCACCTGCCTCTGCCTCTGCCTCCCCAGTGCTGGGATTAAAGGCGTGTGCCACCACCGCCCGGCCCCAGCTCATCACTCTTAATCTGCCTTCTGTACATCCCTAGGCATGGGCACAATTCCGCCAATTTCTTCGCCATCTTGTAACAAGGACAATTTACTCCAGTTTCCAATCTTGTGATCTTTGTTGCCTTTGGAGGTACCATCAACACAGCCTGTATCATCTATACGTCCATCAGCATTCTGCTAGTGACCACTAAGGTAATCTTAAGCAGTCATTCTTCCCCGAGATCTCTCTTCTGCATCACACTGTTCTAAACGTTCCTAGGAAACCTAGATTTTATGGCTAATCTTCGAAACTCTTCTGATCTCTATCCATCACTCTTCTCCTAATTCACGTCCATATTCCCAGGTATCTGCAATAGCCATAGCCCCACTTCTCATTACTTTGTCTTAGTCTGTTTCATGTTGCTACAAAGGAGTGACCAAGACTAAGTAACTTACAGAGAACACAGATTTATTTCTTACAGTTCTGAAAACTAGGACACTCAAGATCAAGGTCCTAGATCTGGTGAGGGTTTTCCCCCTGCCACTCTACAGAAAAAAAAAAAAAAAAAAGGAAACAACAAGTATTTATTGTGAGGGGCCAATTTCATGAAGGATGAGCCCTCATGACCTACACAGTTCCCTGTAGGCCTCTCCTTCTACCTTCCTGTACTGGGGATTAAGTTCCAACACATGAACTTAGTGGGATCTATTCAAACCACAACAGCAGGCTTTGGTTCTGGACAATCACTGGAATTTGTAAACTGCTTGTGAATTAAGGAGCAGACTATAATCTTTCATGGAAGGTAGTGGAGATATCCTAAGACCTGGTTTCTTTTTTGTATGCTTGAACAGTTCATAAGTGTAAATAAAAAAAATGACTATACTCTCAAGTAAGGCAGACCAAGTGATAAAGTATGAGGCCATTTCTAAGTTAACATTGATCATGACTTGTCTAGGATTTCCTTATGTGACAAGCGCCCCCTAGTGAATAAGGAGCTTAAATTGGCCTCCAAAGCAGAAGAGGGGCACCAATGAAATACTTGAGTAGAGCTGCTTTGACAATTTCACATGATGTTAAATAAGCAAAGACGGAGAGGTTTTGTGAGGTGAGAGTAGGAATCCGTTCTCCTTAAAAAAAGCATCCAAGACTCCAAGACAATGGAGAGGTAGCAATCAATATTATAAGTGAAGGGAAAGCTAACTCACACTTAGGTTACCAAAGGAAATGAGACTTGATTAGAGTATTTTAGATCATAATTAGCAATTGGGACTTAAGAAATTTTTCAGAGAAACTTCAGTTTGCCAGGTTGGGTTTGCCAAATTAAAAAATCATACCACATGGCCCTGGTGGCCTGAGTTCTATAATAAATCAGTTACTTTTAGTTACCGCTTTCTCCCTGAAGCTCTTTGTTCTTAACTCCCATTATGCTCTGAAGGTGGTGTGAGTTGTAATTTTGTCACATAAATATTTATGACTTGCCATTTAGAGCACCGAGTTAGCACTCACGGAGCACGCACTCATGCTAACAGTGTCAGACATTTGACACGGAGGCCTTTAAAATAAGCATTCTAAATTAGCAGGTGGAGAGAAACTGAAACAAAAGGAGGTGGAACGTCTGAATAAGGAGCAGAGGAAATTGTTACTGGATCATTCAAAAAATTTTGCTTTATGTCGGAAACTATGAAATTTATATAGCGTAATTTTGTCTTTGTCGCTTTTCGCAGGTGTGGCCTTTTCTATTGCTTCTCATCTTATCTGAACTTTTTGTTTTTCAAAATGAAAAATCATTAGTTGGCCCTCTTCTCTGGAGTCAATTGCCTTTGTCTCCTCAGCAACATCCTTTCAAATTGACCAAGCAGACTTTTCAACCTATTCTTATGGCTCCCTCTTCTCTGAACTACCAGCAGCCTAATTCGACACAACCACATGGCTTTGATCGGTCCGTGTTTCAGTACTTGCAGGAGTTTAACAATACGCTAATGTATTTATGGGATGACCACGGACTACCGCCACCGCCGCTGCATGAGACAAATGGCATTCCTTTAGAGTGAAACCACCTGCATTTCCTTGTCTGGGTGACAAGCACGTGCCAAAGGCGAAGACAGCAAAAGCACAAGTGAAATAGAGGTGAATGACAGGCAGGAACCAGAAACGCCTCGCCTACACATGTTTGTCCACAAACTCCCCTTCTTTTCGGTCCAGTTTCCCACGGTGCATCCGGCGGAGCAGAGGTAACCGTGGGCAGGCGGGCAGGGAAGGAGGACACAGGCGCGGGGAGGTGGACTGGGTACGAGGTATCCCCCTCCGGCGCTCTCGCTGCCCGGGTGGCGGCCGGGGGGGGGGGGGGGGGAGGCCTTAGTGCGCCTGCGCAGACCGGCCACCACTCGCGACCGCAGCATCCCCGCGCCCGGGGCGAGAGGAGGCGCTGCCCCGCCCCGCGAGGCCACGTGATGCGGGCGAGGGGATTGGAGCTGCTGCAGCGCGCCGCGACAGAGAGGAGCAGCGCTGGGCGCTCGCGGCGGGTCCTCCTCCTCCTCCGCCCTCCGGCTTCTTGTCGCCGCTGCTCACCGCTGCTCGCCGCCCGCATCCCCAGCCGCGGCGCCTGGAGGAGGAGGAGACGCCGCTGCCAGCAGGGTCCCCGTCGCAGCCGCCCACTGTCCCTAGGGGCCTCTCTTCTCGCCGCGGCTTGCACCTCTTCGCGCCACGATGGGGCTGATGGACTCAGAGCCCAGCAGCGTCCTTAACGCGGTGTCCACTGCGTTCAACGACACCGTGGAGTTCTACCGCTGGACGTGGTCCATCGCAGGTACAGGCAAAGGGCCTCACCCATCCCCGATGGGTGCTCTGCGGACTGCCCACGACGCAGACGCTAGTCCCCGGCCTCAGCCCCAGGCAAGGCCCTGCGCCCCGCACCCGGCTCCCTGAGGCTGTTGGGGCGCCCGGGTCCTCGCAGATGCGGCGCGGGCGCCGCGGTTGTGCACTGGTTAATCGGATGCGAACGTTAAGGCGTCTTCCTCCCCCCCCCCCCCCCCCACACACACACACTCCCATCTCATCAGCTTCGCGGATGCAGGAGCTGACTTACAGATGCTGCCTGTGCAGCCAAGGAACCACCGCGCCCTGACGCCCGCATTTCCCGAGCTCGCCTCATACTTTTCTTATGTACTGACACTCCTTGTAGAAAGAGGCCTGGAACGGGAGGAGGGCTCCGATTGTTCTTGTCTCTGCTACTTCAGCTTCCTTGAAGGCTTTGACAAAAATGCTTGTGTCTTATTCCATTTAGTTAACCTCTCTGTAGTATAATTTCGACTGAAATGTAAAATAACATTATTTAGCTGGCCAAAGGACGTTAGTTTTTGTGACTTCCTGAGGGTGCTGGCTTTGCGCAGTGCAGTGCCATCAGGAGGAGAGGGAGGAAGGCAGTCATTGGGAAGGGGGTCTCCGCAGCAGCACCTAGAGGTTGGCCCAGACGTCTGCATAAGTACAGCGTACTGAAATTAGCGAACGTTTCCCTTAGCTGTTCAGTTTGTGGGGCAGGACTGTCATTTGGGTGACTTAGGTAGTTTTCCTAGGAGAAGTGATTGTAACAGAAATGGTCACGTGTTACCATTTCTTCATTTGCTTTTAAAAGTTTTCAAAATCATAAACGTCAATTTTAAAGGATTCTCGGAATGGGTTTATGATGTAAATTTCTGCTGTCCGTTTGCAGTGTTACTTTGTATCCCAGCAGATTAGGATGTTAGCAATATAGGTTATGACAGCTGTCTTAAGAAATGAAGTTTTTTTTTTTTGTCGCTTTTGTGTTTGTTGCTAAGGCAAATGACAGTGTGTTATAGCATGGATACAGTATGACATCTGAGGTATGTGCGGTGGACAAAATGCTTGCTGGAATTGTTTCTGTATGAGACAATCTATTTTCTCCCCGTGTGTGTGTGTGTGTGTGTGTGTGTGTGTGTGTGTGTGACGTGGAGGCTTCACTGACTGGTTTAGCAAAGTGTGATACTTCTCAGAAGACTACAAACTTAATGCTAGAAGAGGCAGCAGTTCCCAGGCATCACAGCGGGAGATGACTTAAAGGCAGTTGCAATGGGGCATTTCTTTCTTGAGTTTTTCCTTAATGTTGTCACACGGATACGTGCAATACCTGGGGAAGGAGCACCCTTCCCTTCCCTTCATCTCCTTGATACTGCTCTGGGCATTGCGTCAGAGCATCCCCTTACACAACTGTGCAGAGCTAAACCTCAGACGTGCTTGCTGGCAGGTGGCAACGTGGTTGAGGTCCTCCAGCTGCCTTGCACCCAGAGCCACGCCTAGGAGTTCTCAGTCCTGTCTCTCAGCTCCTTCCCATCCTGGAGCCTTCTCATCTCTCCAGCCTCAGAAAGAGAAGTTGAGAGGCCTAAATCAGGATGGATGGTAGAGCTGGCTCTGACAAGGCTTCTAGGCACAGGGGATACAGGGCAGCTTCAGCTTTACCAAGTCTGATTTGATTAATTTCTCCAGTCAGTTTCATGCACTCCGGCCACTTCGGCTCTTCCGCAGAGTCTAGCTGGGTGCATCTGAATTTGCTGTGGTATTCATTTAAACATCACTATTTAATAGAACTCAGTGATTTGCAGGAGTTAGGTGTGGCAATAAATAAATAAGTAAAACGTCAAAAAAAAAAAAAGAGAAGTTGAGAGGAAAGCTGGAGCCTGGCTTTTTATAGTGGTTCATTCTGTCTGAATGAGTCTGTGAGAAAGATCAGCAATGGGGTTGGCAGTGCGGTGTGTCCACTCAAGTGAAAGGTGGCTCCTACGTTTTGAGGGCTCTATAAAACAATACACTTTCGTGGGTCAAGCTTGAGAAATGAGTAGACAAGGGACACTCAAGTGACCTCTTACTAGCAGGTCAGTGGGAAGATATTCGTCCATCTCTTGACTATCCACTTACGAAACCCGAGACTGCCTCCTTCCTTCTGTAACGAGCTGCCCAGTGCAGGCAGAGGTGCTTCTGAACAGGCTCAGTGGCTAGAGTCTGTTTGGCTTTGGTGCAGCATAAGGAGGATCATTGTTCAGGGGTTATTTGGTTTTTTTTTTTTTTTTTTTTTGCTTGCTTTTTGCTTTCACATCTGGATCTTCTGTACTTCCCAGACACTTTTCTGTGCTGTGTGTTCCTTCTGGGAACCAGGTCTCCATGTTCCTTCTGGGAACCAGGTCACACTGCCTCCCTTCTCCAAGAACATTTATTTTTTTTTTCCATGAATATTGAAAATGTGGATAAGGGGGCTACGGAGTAGAAAGGGAGGGCTTCGCCAGTGATGCTGGAGAAAAGTGGATGAGTCAGATGTTTGGAAAGAGGGAAATAAAAATGGGTGGGAGACAGGGATGCTCTTGAGAAATGGTGCGGAGTGTGATGAAAGGGTGACATTATTCAGGAAGAGCAAGCTGGGCTGGGCGCCGTGCCCCGAGTGCCTCACTGAAGGAGTATGCTGACTTCTTTTCCTTTTACTTGTTCCTTGGGTTTTCCTCTTCTTGAAGTTCCCCCATGAGCACAAGTAAAGTAGTTCTGTTTTGTATTGTTGTAATAAGAAAGGTACAGGGTTGTAGAGTAGGTTTGGCAGCCTAAGACATTGTTCTTAGAGCAAATAGCTTCTGGTGAATTATTTCGAACTCTATCAAATGGTACTATTTAATAGAACACAGCCAAAGGGAGGTCTACAAACTGGGCTTTTCAACAGCACATATCTAGCAAACAACGAGCTTCTGTGCTCACAGGAACAGTGTCACTTTTCTTGTATTATTAACACTTTGTATATTGAAATTTAAGATTTAAAAAGAGTGCACTGCACCTTTTTAAAAAGTACAAATAAATTTGAATTTTCTAAACTAGGCATCTAGCTGCTGCCACAAGGAAGTTACTGTTGTTTACATTGGAAGAAGGCATGGGCCGATGTGAAGCTTCATTCAGGGGAGCCACAGCTCTGATGCCCTCGCATCTGTGTTTTGATTCTCTGATTTGACCTTGTATTTGTGAAAATGACTAGAAAGTATAACTAATTAAACTCCCATCCAAACATTTAAACCGACACATCTAAATAGTCTCCCCCCTCTGTTCAGTGCTACACTGTCCACTTTATCCATTCCTGCCAGTTTCCTTCTTGCTACTTAGTGGCTTCACAGATCATGAGTACTTGTTTATGTATTGTTAAAGTTTGAGCATAAATAGTCGGGGTCCTGAATTCACTTTGGAAGAGGAAGAGAGGAAAGGGGGTGAGAGGCGTGGCATAGGAGGGAGGGTGTTTCCTATTTGGTAATGAGAGACTCGAGAAACCAGGCTGTATTGTGTAAGTAAATGCACTCAGGTCATGCATAGTTCTTTATTCCATATGTACTTTCCATGCAGAATACGGGCCGGGGACAGAGGCCACTGGGTCACAAACTTACGAAGTCTAGGTGAAATCACTGCTATTCTGCCCCCCCCCCCCTCCCGAAATCCTGGTTTGAGGGCCCCAGGACAACCAGAAGAGTTCTCTCCTGTTATCTCAGTGTCCCCGCCCTATGTGTCAGACGTAAGTGGTGAAAGCAGCAGACTGCCTGGCTCTGTTTTCTGAGTATTTTATCAGTTTCCCACAGTTGCTTACCCTGGCCGTGAGTGAGCTGAGAGGAACAGTCAGATAATGTTTGAATTGGTAGACCAGGGCAAAGGTGCCAAAGGCAAATGGCCCAGGGGATGGACTGGGGACTGAACCAGAGAAACTGGGACTGCAAAAGGACCAGTGAGTCATTTAAACCTGCTGTGGGAGGGGATGCTTAATTCAGCTGTAATAAACTGGAGTCAGAGGAGGTTTAGCCTATGGCTTGCCAGGCTGCAGAGGAGGAATACAGGTTTTAAATGTGTAGTTTTCATCTGTGTTAATTTCTATAGTAGATTTTGTGTTTGGATTAGCCTAGGAGATATGTCTATATGTCTGTTCTCTCTCTCTCTCTCTCTCTCTCTCTCTCTCTCTCTCTCTCTCTGTGTGTGTGTGTGTGTGTATGTGTGTGTGTCTGTTCTCCTTCCCCCGTCTCTCTCTCTGCAGGGTTTTGGGTTTGAGGTAGGGTCTTGATATGTGAATCAGGCCAACTCTGAACTCACACTGTAGCCAGTATGAGCCCCAAGGTCATTATGCCTTCACCCCGCAAGGACTGTGATTACACGCTTGCACACTAGCATGAAAACAAATGTGTGGACCACGGCTGGCCTCTAGCCTCTCTCCTAGCCACTGTTTTTCCTGAAGTCTTGTCTCATAGCCTCTCTGAAGCTTCTGGGAGGCCCAGATAGCTTTAGGGGGTTTGTCAGGTTGATATTTTTCCTTTATTACAGTCTCACTTGATAAGTACACCCTTGGACTTAAGTGACTGATACTCCTATACCCTCTTCACCCACAGCATATAACAAAACACTCCTCATGCACAGATCCCAGCGGGGTGAACAGTGCAGTTCTGAGACTGGTTTCAGGACAGCTTTATGTGGTTAGAGTCTTTCAACTAGGGTGACGGGGTGACAGACCTTGGACAATGATTTTGTGATCATCTAAGGTACAAAGTACTTGGTCATAATTTTTTTTAATTCAATGTTTTATATTTTTTTCTTAAGTAATATAATAATGTCACCTGTGAATGATTTACCATGAGTAAGGTTTATCACCTGAGCCACCACTCTTGCGTTGCGTCTCTGTTTCCATGCAGACAGAGTTGTTTAGTGAATTGTGTCATTCCTCTCATTCAGTGTCTCTTTTTTCCAGATATTACATCTTTCCATCTATAAAATCAGACAAGATTTTTCTGT